TGGAAAATCCCATCGACGGAGGAGCGTGGTAGGCTACGGTCCATAGGGTCGCAAAGAGTCGGACACAACTGAGCAACTTCACTTTCATTTTCAACAGTGTTCATAATTGATTGTTTTTTGGAAAGAATACAGTTGGTTTTCAAGTAATACTTATCTCTCTGATCTTCAACTGCAAGTTTATGTTATAGTCTCTGGACATGCCATCAGATAGCCAAATCAGTATGATCTAATTTTAGCACACAATAAATTTTTAACACAAAATAAATGGAAACTCAAAAAGCAATTAATTGTATACATAAACTGATAAAGCATAACTAATTGGTGGCAAGAAATCTGAGTTGATTCTGAACATTAAAAAGTAGCTGCCATTAGCAGTAATTAACATTTATTGAGTGTTTTTTTTTTTTTTTTTTTTAATGTGCGTAACACATAAGTGGAGAAGGCAATGGCACCCCACTCCAGTACTCTTGCCTGGAAAATCCCATGGAGGGAGGAGCCTGGTAGGCTGCAGTCCATGGCGTCACTAAGAGTCCAACTTGACTGAGCGACTTCACTTTCACTTTTCACTTTCATGCATTGGAGAAGGTAATGGCAACCCACTCCAGTGTTCTTACCTGGAGAATCCCAGGGACAGGGGAGCCTGGTGAGCTGCTGTCTATGTGGGGTCGCACAGAGTCGGACACGACTGAAGCGACTTAGCAGCAGCAGCAACACATAAGTGTTTTTTACATATCAACACATTTAATCCTCATACCAAATATAAGAGGTAGATGTAAATGTTTGACTTCATTTTACAAAAAAGGAAAATGAGCTACAAAGAGATTGTGAAAGTAGCCCAGGTCACACAGCAAGAAAGAGCAAAGCCAAGTCTAGACCATTCTTAAGGAGTATACTATGTTGTATTACCTCTCCAGGAGCACAGTACATGTGAAAAAAATCATTCTGGCTTTTTGTGTATGACAAAGAAATAGTTGGTATGCGTGTGTGTGTGTGTGTGTGTGTGTGTGTGTGTGTGTGTTTTAGTTGTAAGTTGTGTCCAACTCTTTTGCAGCCCCTTGGACTGTAGCCAGCCAAACTCTTCTGTCCATGGGATTTCCCAGGCAAGAATACTGAAGGGGGTCCCATTTCCTTCTCCAAGGGATCTTCCCAGCCCAGAGATAAAACCTGCATCTCCTGCACTGGCAGACAAATTCTTTACTTCTGAGCCACCAGGGAAGCTCAGTTGGTGTGCGTAACTGCCAGTAAATTATATTTTAAAAAGTGTTTTCACTGGGGTGAGCTAATGGAAAATTACTGAGGGACATGATGGGGAGCTCAGTCAATGTGATTAGGTCATCTGTGTTTGTAATTGATGTTTACCAAACTTAGACTCCTATCCTACCGCAGAGATGTATCTTCCTTGATTATTACATCTCAGAAGCATGGCTCCTAGGTCTTTGAGAAAGACATTGTTAGGGTTGTAAAACTAGCAAGAGGCTGGAAGAAGATTTGTATCTTAAAGGAAAAAAGGAAGAGTGTATGATTGCAAATATTCTAAAGTAAATGTTCTAAGAAAGGGGATCTCAAAGGTCTAGATTCAGAAAGAAAACTGTTGAAGGCTTAGTGAAGCTGAGGAGAATGTTAAATTGCCTTGGGTCAAACATAGATAGGATATTTGGACCAAATAGATTCTGTTTAACTGTGTTTGCTTATGATTCATATAATATATATTGAGTTATGTTTATATATTTAACAATCATTGAATGCATATTCAGCTATATAATTTAAAGAAATATATTCTCATTGTCATGTGAAGGAATTTTTGGAATGAAAGGAATTGTTAGAGCTCCAGTGGCTCTCAAGATAGTATGTAATTACTGATGCGACAAAACCATTAGATATACAGAATGTGAACTCTCAGAACAAAAGAATAATATTGATTTAATCTAAGAGGTTCAGGTAGACAACCTCATATGGGACTTCTGGAGGAAACAGATGGCAATAATGATTACCCATTGCTAAATTTCCTCAAGCATGGCTAAAAAAAGGGCAGGACCAGAAGGTTGGGAAACGTGGGGTCCAAAAGGCACATGAACCTGACTATATTTCATAACAAGACATATCTGCCTTTGCTCAGAGTCCTGAAATAAATTTTCATCATGATCCAAACACTTTCTTGGTGCATCTGACCTGAGTTCACTACAGCTACAAACAAAAGTTTCACAAACTCTCAGTAGAAATGAAATCACAGTTTCAAGACATACAGATTTTGATGAGTAAAGCATAAGCTTTGCATGTTTATGATTGTTTTTAGAATTGTAAACCTTAGAGTATTCCTAAATTATCCCAACCCTATCCTATCAAGTTTGCTCTATTTCAAGATAAATTGGTTTGAAAATAAACTAAGACCATAAAATAAACTCATCATCCTAGCATTTTGGAAATGTATATACACATTTAAAAATAAGCTTAAATTATTGCATATGGCATCAAATTCCAGGGCCACTGATTCCTTGAAGTCAGATTCATTTGACTTCCTGAAAATGAATTTGTTTTCATGAAGCTATTTAAATTTATTGAGTTACTATTATCATCCTAAACCCAAATAAAATTTGAGAAGTATTGGGCCTGGACATATCTCTGCAATTCTAAATAGTATTTGCATCTGTAAGTGTCAGAATTGCCATTGACTAAGACATATGTGATTAGTGACCAACACTAAACATACAATCCTGCACTTATATATTGATTTATAATTGATGTGACTTATAATTGATATTACTTATATTCTTAGATTGTGAAGTACTATGATTAAAAGCATGCATGTTACTGAAGAACTATTTGTCCATCCATATTCAATGGTAAATGTATGGAACTTTTATATCTATGGATATATGGATCTATCTATGGGGAATTTCAAAAATACCTTTACCTGGATCCCCTCCCAGGGCTTCGCATATGGTGCTAGTGGTAAAGAGCCTACTGGCCAATGCAGGAGATAAGACTTAAGAGACTTAGATTAGATCCCTGGGTTAGGAAGATCCCCTGGAGGAGGTTATGGCAACCCATTCCAATATTCTTGCCTGGAGAATCCCATGGACAGGGGAGCCTGGTAGGCTACCATCCATGGGGTTGCACAGAGTCAGACATAACTGAAGCGACTTAATATGCATGCAGATCCCCTACCAGAACCCTAAATCATGACTTCTGAAGTGAAGTGCAGGCATTGGTGTTTCTAAAAATCTCCTCAGGTAACTGGCACAGAGAAGTTTGAGAAATTAAAAACTGCTCTTGACCACTGCTTCTCAAGCTTTAATGTGGGCACTAGTCTCCTGGAGATTGTATTAGAATGAAAATTCTAATTCTGTGGATACAAGCTTGAAATTTTGTGTTTCTATCAGAGTCCCAGAAAACATTAGACAGAGCATATGTATTTTCTATCATCTGTTCTGTTGACCAGCACTCTTCTATACCTTGAATTTTTATATATATATATATATATATATATAAACCATTTGTCTGAAATTCAGAAGAGTAGCCTTTAGGGGAGTAGAGAAATTTATTAACAAATCTTCTCTAACAATATAAAGAATTTTTCAGTATAAGTAATTGAGAATTTTTGTAATTAACCCATGTTGTTGTTTAGTCACTAAGCCATTTCCAGCTCTGTGACCCCGTGGACTGTAGCCTGCCAGGCTCCTCTCTCCATGGGATTTTCCAGGCTAGAATACTAGAGTGGGTTGCCATCCCCTTCTGCAGGGGATCTTCCAAAACCAGGGATGGAACCTGCATCTCCTGCCTTGGCAGTTGTATTCTTCCCCACTGAGCCATCTGCGAAGCCCCAGTTAATCCATACCTAATTGTATTTCAAACTGTAACATGTTTCTTGACCCAGCAGCTGGAGGCACATTAGCTGTTGAAAAAGAGTTATTTTGTCTTAATCCTCACCAACTAAACTATTGGAACTCTGGTATTCTCTGAACTGATAGCGCAGGACCCCAAGGGTCTCTCAAAACCTACCATTTCCTTTCACTTTCCACAAGTTTCTGCTATTGAGGTGTTTACTTGATGACCCATTTGCTCCAAATGCAACTTGGAGACATGTTACTGAAGTTCAGCTTTTGTACCCAGGTGCCAGATTAAATCTCAGAGACAGTTTTGGGTGAAATAGAACTAAAGCTATTTAGCTTTATTGCTTTGTCAGGCAAAGAAGGCCACAGTGGGCTAATGCCCTCAAGACCGTGTGTCCCGCTTGTAAAGGGTTAGTGAGGAGTCTCAAAACGTTCAAGGAACAGGGCGTGATCAGCTCCTGGACATTCTTCTGATTGGTTGGTGGTGACATAATTGGGAGTCAGCATCCTCAACCAGCTGGTTGAGTGTCCAGCTGGTCCAGGGTCTACACCCTTGTGGGCCACATGTAGTTAACTTCTGCCAACTGGGACAGGTTTAAGTGTCTGGAAAACAGCTCAAAGGACATGGCTCAGAATACTATTGGTGAAATAGAACTAAAGCTATTTAGCTTTATTGCTCTGTCAGGCAAAGAAGGCCACAGTGGGCTAATGCCCTCAAGACCGTGTGTCCCGCTTGTAAAGGGTTAGTGAGGAGTCTCAAAACGTTCAAGGAACAGGGCGTGATCAGCTCCTGGACGTTCTTCTGATTGGTTGGTGGTGACATAATTGGGGGTCAGCATCCTCAACCAGCTGGTTGAGTGTCCAGCTGGTCCAGGGTCTATACCCTTGTGGGCCACATGTAGTTAACTTCTGCCGACTGGGACAGGTTTAAGTGTCTGGAAAACAGCTCAAAGGACATGGCTCAGAATACTATCTGTAATCACTGAGGAAGAACTAAAGAGCCTTAACTTTGTTTCATGGCTAAATTATTATTATTTTGTCTCAGTTGACTATTTTCCTTTCTTTCTTCATTTCCTCACTTCTCTGATTAAGTTTATTCTCATTGAATAAATAAAATTTATTATTATTATTATTATTTTTAAATGTATTCTTATGAATGTTTTTCTACAGATAAAAGGCAGGCAGAGGATATGGATAGGAGTCTCTCCTAGGAAGGCCTCACAGGGTCCTGCTTGCTTACAAACTGATGCTACTACTCGGAAAATTTACATATCACTCTCACATCAGGCTGCAGCCAACACCACTGTCCAGGGTCTCCAGGCCACAGCAAAATGTCTCCTCCAACCCAACAGCAGGATCTCAAAGCTAAATCTTGCTCCCCTAAGAACTGAGCTCTCAGTCGAGGTTGGACCATATTCCTTGGAGGACGAGCGGATCTAACTAAGTCATCTAGCAGTCAGCCTCCAAATGTCCAGGTGTCTTTCCTTTTAATTAAGCAGCTTAAGCAAGTATCCCACCCTACTAGCCTTTCAGACATAAAACAAATAACAGTTGAGATGGCTGAAGCTAAGCCATGCTGGGGACCCCAGAATGAAACAATATTGCTCCTTAAAATGTGCATATACTTGGAACACAATAATCACTTCATATTTACGCTGAAAAAGCAGAATTCTGACAACAGGATAAGCAAAAAATAAACACCAACAATAGGTTGGCCTTTAAATTTCCCTACTGATTAACTTTGTTTTTCTAGCTTTGTTTCATGGTCACACATCTTTGTGAATTTTGGTTCTTTTAAAATCTTTTACCAGCATTCTCATTATTATTGTTATCCTTTTAATTGTAAGCTTCACGGGGTTAAGGTTCTCTATTTGTTTAACTTTAAATCTCACATCATATGCTAATATATTGCATATAGACTGCTCTATATTTTTGAGGTGAAATTTGATTTTGGCTTTGAGGGTTTTAGACATCTTATAACTGATTTATATAAAAACTAAGTCATATAAACCAGGATGAATCAAACATTTTCCTTCTTATCTATTGCATTCTTTCTCCTTGCAAATGTTTATGTATTTGCCTCATGTTAAATTCAATCTTAAATCAGTAGATTCTGCCTAACCAATAATTTCTTGAAACATAACTGAAAGTAAATATTCTCCTCAGCTAATGCCCCATCCCCTGCTTAGAGTATCTACTCTTTATCGTTTGTCAGTGGATTGCTAGAATTTCCATGAAGAGATTAAATGAAGCAATATTCAATATTCAGTTTAATCAACTTTATTTTTTTAATTGGAGAAGATTAAAATAGCTGGTAAAACATGAGCATATTTATGTATTTATTTCCAATATTATTGTTTTAATTATCCAGATTGAGAATTAGCCTGGTTTAAAATTAACAAGGATATAAGATTTCAGATATCCAGTTCTTATCTCTGAATAAGTAATCCTTGTTTAATTCTCTAGGGGAGGGAAAAACTTTTCTTCCTCTGCTCACCTGAGGCTTCAAGCATCAAACTGATAAAAGAGATTAGCAACAGCAAAAACATCACAAACAAATTAAAGAAAACAAAAAAACAGACCTAGTCACAAACTTCAGGGGAAGAAAAAAAGTATTTTCCTTCTATTCTTGTAGGTTCTCAGCAGGTTGGCTGGGAACCCTGTAACAACAACAACAACAAAAAAAAATTACGGAAAAAGAAAACAAACAGAAGTTTATTGAAATGTTTATGTGTATATCACATATATACATGGGGATAATTCAGGGATGAGTAACAAATAATTGCCTGGAACTTGTGCTTAAATGCCCTCTTCACCCAAAACAGAAGAAGAAGGGTATGAGGAAGGCAAGTTATGAGAAGGTGGCCAGAAAAAGTACAATAAACAAAGGTCTGGTTTGTTTTGCAAATTTAAAGTGATACCTTCTCCAGTGATTAGAGGCTCTTGTGATTAAGAGTTATCTCACTCTTGATGATACAGAGATGTGACTCAAGGAGGATTTTAGGATTTATATGCCATCCAACCAAGTGTGGAGAAGAAGCTAGACACAGGAAAAAGGATTAGAGGCTGCTGGGAGGGGAGATAGCAAGTATGGGAAGGTATGATACAGAGAAAGTATGGTACATAAAGAGTGTTCAGTAAGGTTAGCTTTGCAGGTTCAAAGTCAGGGCCTTGTCCATTGATAAGAGCTGTAAAGTGTCATCTTCATATCACTGGTATAAGAGAGAAAGAGTTGTTCGGTTGCTCAGTTGTGTCCAACCCCTTGCAACCCCATGAACTGCAGCATGCCAGGCCTCCCTGTCCTTCACCATCTCCTGGAGCTTGCTCAAACTCATGTCCATTGAGGCAGTGATGCCATCCAACCATCTCATCCTCTGTCATCCCCTTCTCCTCCTGCCTGCAATCTTTCCCAACATCAGGGTCTTTCCTAATGAGTCAGCCCTACACATCAGGTGGCCAAAGTATTGGAGCTTCAGCTTCAGCATCAGTCCTTCCAATGAATATTCAATACTGATTCCTTTTAGGATAGATTTGTTGGATCTCCTTGCAGTCCAAGGGATTCTCAAGAGTCTTCTCCAAGACCACAGTTCAAAAGGATCAGTTCTTTGGTGCTCAGCTTTCTATATGGTCCAGCTCTCACATCCATTCATGACTACTGGAAAAACCATAGTTTTGACTGTAAGGACCTTTGTTGGCAAAGTAATATGTCTGCTTTTTAATACACTGTTGACATCTTAACAAATAAAAATCTTCTTTTGTAAGTGTAAATTTCCTTAAAAAAAATATGCTTTGTTTTTAGAGCTTTCCCGACATCTGCTGTTTGTCAGTTGTCTTCAATTCAGAATAATCCTTATGCCAAAGTGGTGTATTTGGGGGGGGTGGGGGGGGCATACTCTGTTTCTCTAGTTTTCTTTCCTCTGTGTGCAACTGGCATTTTAGAGCTGCTTCTTGGAAGGTCAGCAGTTTGTTTGGACAGGGCTTCCCAGCATGGCATTTTTCAGTATTGTTATATTCAGTATCTGATTCCAGGTGTCTGTTCTTTAATTATTTATGACCACCTCCTTCCAAACTGGACTGTGGGCACCAGAAAACTGACTGGAAACTGATGTCCTACAAAATGGTAAAATATAATTTAAATATCAAGACTAAGGAAAGAATAAATTAAAACAGAAGGTTAAATTTTAGAAGAGAAATTACCATATCAAAATATAGATCAGGATGTTGCATAATTCCTCCCAGTAAAATGGTTAACTCCTTGAGGTCAGGGACTATTATACATTTCATGTTCCATCAGTATTTGGCACAGCACCTACATGTAACTGATGCTCAATAAATACTGATGATTCATTTTATTTCATTTATTTGTGAAAAAGCGAAGCAAGGAAAAAAAAAAGTGTGCCTTACATATCATGGAAACAGTTTCTTTTTTATTGATGAGAGCCTGATGGAATGAGAACCCTGACACAATTGTAAAGAGTTAGGGAACTGACCCACTCTCAGATTGCTTCACTTCCTGGCCGGTTTTAAACACCTGGAGGAATAAAACACTGAAAAATCTTTGTGGTGTTTGCAGTTAAGCTTGAGTTCAGTCTCACAGCTCTCAGTGTGGACACTCATTTCCAAAATTCAATGTGAATCCTTGAGGGGTGAAATTGGCTCAAATGATACTAACAGAGGAAAGGAACTCCAATTTAACATATATTCACTAATTATGTTATTATTATTCTTAATTGTTTCAAAACATAAAGGATGAAAAGCTAAAATTTTAATTGGCAAAGGAATTTCATACTAGGAAGGCACCTCTTGATTAGCAGCTGTGTAGGCAGAGGGAGGGTTGGGGGTATGGAAATTTGGCTAAGAATTCACACGGAAAAGTGTTCAGCGTGCTTCAAAATAGCTCAATCAGTACTCAGCGTGCTGTGAAAGCGCTCAACTGGTGCTCAGCTTCCCGCATATTTAAATAAATGGAGAGCTTACTTTTAAAAAGTGCTCAATCCGGAGTGCTCAAGTTATGGGGCCTATTAGTTGAATGCTAATTAACTTTTTGCATATGGTTCACTTCTCGTAAGCAGAGGGACGCGTTTGCTGTTCACACTTCCGGTTGAACCTGGACTTTGCCGGATACATTGCGAGATCAGCATTTCTTGTGGAGGAGGCGAGCATCCAGCCCACCATTCCCATGGCTTTCTTTGGCTCAGTTTCACTGTCTCTCTCTGCCTCTCTCATGTGTTCACATTATCCTCCTCAGTATTTCTGGCTTTATTGTCTTGCTTTGAAGTTACTTTGAAAAGACTAAAATAGAAGAGCTTGCTGTTTTATTTGATCTGCTATCTTTTTATTCCTGATGCATGGTTTGGTTTTTCCCAAGGGCCTTTTCAATCATTTTGATATCATTTGCTCCTCAGAAATGGTTTTGAGCATTAAGTTGAAGAAATTGTGTAGTTCCATAATGTCCACTTTTAATTTGGTTTACTCATTAGAAATATTACTTTTGAAGTAGGAAAGATGAGTCCCATATTAAATAAATAACTCCATTTAATAATTTGCTTAAAATCAAATTTGAGCTATATATTTTAAGAATCTACTTTGGGGGAAAAAGATACTATATTTCACTATTGCTATAAATTTAGATGAAGATTTAAATGGAATTTTGTTTTCTGTGATGATTTCAAAATCTCATAGGATGATGCATTGATGTGTGAGTGCAGTTTTTAAAATACATTCAAACGATGTCATGTATTCCCTTTGCAAGTATTTCATTATGCATTTTTAAAAAACCTTTCGAAATAAATATATTTATGTGGTAACTGTTACCAAACCCAAACTTGTGTTCACTTTCCCATAGGCAGTAAAAAACAATCCACTGACATTTTAAGGAGAGTAAAATAACTTTTAATTAGCATCTAATGCAAGGTTAATGCATTAACCTCCTAACTCATCTCCTAGCCAACCTCACCACAAGGCAAAAAGTGCCTTCCCATCTATAAATGTCATTGGAAAGGTCATGGGTTTTGGTGGAGATAGCAAGACTTCTTAGGCTGCAGCCATTGGAAATGTTGGTCATCTGACTCCAAGGTTCTCCAAGCAACATTCTACTTTAACTGGCTTCAATATTGGGCTACCTGGAGAAAGTAGCTTGGAGAAAGACTCAGTTGATCAAGTGAATACATTGTTAGAAAATGTTATTCAATATAAATTTTATGTCAATCATAGCTCAATTAAAAAAGAAAGAAAATATGTTAGCTACACATATTCCCATATATATGAAAAGGATATGAATCTCACTGGAAATGAATACATTTGCATCAGGACTTTCTATCCCAGTCAGAATTTTGCTAATGTGATTCTGCATGAGTGATGGGATAGTGACCAGTGTTCTCATAATAACCACTTCCTGAGTCTGCAGTGCTAATGGTCTGACCTTGGATGGTGATGAATTC